TCCCTCATCTGTAACAATGTAGTAGACATTATTTATCCCCTGTTTCTCAGTCTCCCCCCCAACACCTATGTCAGTCCTCTTTTATAACAGTCGCACTATGCAGTATTTGTCTTTTTGTGACTGAGATATTTCACTTAGCATAATGTCCTCCAGGGTCAACCATTTTGTGTAATATAGCATGAGTTCCTTCTTTTTTAATGCCTCATAGTAGTCCATAAGACAGGTACTAAATTGTTTTGTCTGCATCACAAAATAAATTTCTTTTTTCTTATTGAAATATATTCATTTAGACCTTTCATTTTTAGTTACTTTCCAGGAAAAGTTTAGTAGTGGGACATGTCTTTTCTTCCATCTTCCTTTTGGCTGTGAATTTCAGAATGAGAAGAATTGTGTTCAGTGGTGTCTTTCTCTTAATCTGCCTCTTAAATGGTAAGTCATTACAAGAATACAAAGCACAAAGGGAGAAAATGACTTAAAAATATGCATAGTTACACTATAGCTATGCGAAAGGTAAGCTTCAGTAAGATAAAGAGCTTTTAAAAAGGCTTTTGTAAACACTCCATTAATAAGAATAACCAGAATTTTGTGCTATATGCTGGGCCCTGGTGGAATCGTGTGTAACAGTACAACCTGATAACCAAAAGGTGAGAAGTTCGAATCCACCAGTCCTCCAGCCACTCCTCCAGAGATAGATGAGCAGTGTATGCCTCTAAAGATTTGCAGCCTTGGAAACCCACTGAAGGGTCACCATGAGATAGAACTGCCTAGAAAACAGTGGGTGTGTCCTATGTGTAGTAATTCTTTTAATCACCATGACAACCTTATGAGTTAGGTGTTCTTATTTCCCACTTAGTAAATGAAGCAACTGAGATAGAAGATGGTGGGCCATGTATTGCTATTATTGTTGTTCCATTTAAACCTAACGAGACCAGGCAGTGAGACCTTGTAGGAATGGCGAAGCAAGGAAAACGAATTAGAACAAAAGAAGCACACACAAAAGCCTTGGACCACTTGGAGCCCAAGAGCTCTTCCATCATCTCTTCATTTAAAAAAGGAAGCGTACTGTCAACAGACAGATTTCATAAGGATAACAGACCAATAATCTAAGAATAACAGACAGATTTCAATTTCTTTTAGAGAATTATTATGGCCCAAGATACATGTCAGGGGCAGATTACCCAGGAAGCAAAACTTGTATTAAGCAAGATATCAAAGGGTTTAATTGTGTTGGCTTGCTAATCTGTAGTGAGAAGTTTCACTTGGGTACTACCACATCTCAGTGGGATATAGGTGACACTGTAAACCACATATTGGTGGGAAGGGACAACTGGGCCCAAGCACATCTTGCTTATTTAGCAATCAGGCCTGACAAATATCTTCACTTTGCCTCAAGCAAGGCAGTTGCTTGTGAAAGTAACATGTCTGAAAAGTCCTCTTCTAGCACCATCATGGAAGCTCTTCCTCTCCATGAAAGGGAGAGATGAATAGAAAGACAGACTGCTCAACCTTGACCCCTGGAGTAGATGAGACAGAGTCTGATAGCCTCATACAATGGACACTCCTAGACTAGGTTTGAAGAAAGGAGAGAGAAAGGTGGCTTCTTCAGCAGTGCATACCCATTGCATAGGGACCTTGTCAGAAACTAGACAATTGAAAAGTTGGCAACAGATGTTGGTGATGGTTGTACAACAAGATTGATTTAATTGTTACCACTGAATTGTACAAGTGAAAATTTTTCCCTGGCAAATACAGTTTTATCTCTATTTTTTTTTTAAGTAGGTAAATAGGTAAAGCCAAGTTGCCCTTTGGAGGCTAGGATTTTGATGCTCTGTCTCACATGCTTTGGGCATGTTGCCAGGAGGACCCAGTCCTTGGAGAAGGATGTCATGCTCAGAAGGGTGGAGGGACAGCACAGGACAGGGAGATTCTGGATGAGATGGATTGACACGGTGAGTGGCAATGGGGGGACAGGTGTGTCAGAGACACTGAGGTTAGCCCAAGAGAGGGCAGGGTCAGAGCCATTGTTCATAGAGTCACTTTGGGTCATAGTTGATTTTATGGCACATAACAACCACAACAACAATGCTGCAAACCTGGCATGGGGTCCAAGATTCTACATTTCTGACAAGCTCCCAAGTCATGCTGATAATGCTGATACTGTTGGTCTGAGACCTCACTTTAATAGTAAGAATATCTAATATTTAATAATAAGAATCTCTAGGGCCTCACCTCATTGTCAGAACCAAATAACTTGTAGCTGACTCTAGAGAGAATTTTTAGAAGGTCAATTGCACAGGACCCTGCCATCTTTCTTCCATGGAGCACTTAGTGGGGGCCAGTTGCTTTAATTTGTTTGGACAAAGAAGAAAATTCAGCACATAGGTAAGTATTTTCTTTTTCATTCTACTTTTCAAAATTGCCTTTGTCAATTCACAATTCATGTGACAGAGTAAAACTGCTCCGCTGGGTTTTCAAATCTGTGACCTTTCAGAAAGCAGCCAGCCAGGTTTGCCTTCTGCAGCACCTCTAGAGGGGTTCAAACCATTAATCTTTCTGCTTACTGTAGAGCACTTACTCATAGGCACTACCCAGGCAGGGATTTGTCTATGATGTTGGTTGAAAGATCAATGACTTCATTTATAATATATGTCTCATTGGCATCGAGTTGGCACCGACTAATAACTATCCGTCCACTAGGTTTCTGAAGCTGCAGATGGCACAGGAGGAGACTGTCCCTCCCTTCCACCAGCTTCTCTCAGAAAGCCTGACTTCTTCCTGCAGAGTCACTGCCAGGTAGTTTCCAGTGGCCCTAGCAGCGCGGCCTTAGGCTTAGCAGTGGCGCCCCCTAGAGATGAGGCCACCAGAGCTCCCCAAAGAAACTAAACCCTGGACCCAAATCAGATCAAACCAAACCTGGTACCTCTGAGTTAACTCATGGCGTTTCTGTCAGGAGAACCATTTGCGTCAGAGAAGAACTGTGCTCTGTAGGATTTTCAATTCTTATTTTTTAGAAGTAAATTGCCAGGCATCTCTTTGGGGAATTTCTGTGTGTACTTGAACTGACAACCTTGTAGTTAGCAGCCAAACACATTAACCTTCCTAACTTCCAGTAATTCTAAATAGTTATGTACCTGATTTATAATGTGTATTGTTGTTACATGGCATTGAATTGGAACCAACTACCCTCCAGAGGGCTTTCAGAGGCTGTAAATCACATAGGAGGAGATTGTCCATATTTTCTCTAAGGAGAAGTTGGTGGATTCAAACCATAAGCCTTGGGTCAGCAGTGCAGCTCATGACAAATAGGCCATCAGAGCTCACCTAATATACGTTTAAAGAGTTATATATACAGACACTGTTTAAATCCACCATCTGTTCCATGGAAGAAATATGAGCAATCTTTTCTGGGCAATTTACTGCCTCTGAAAACCCACTGCAGGGTCAGCTATAAGCTGGTTCTAGCTCGATGATATCAAACAATAACAGTGCACATTTATCAGCTATATTTAGGGTTTTCTCCCACTATTAAAGTTATGAAATAGAATTAATCAAGTAAGGAAATGATTCCTTTTACATATAATCTGAAGCTTTAAACTTAATTGTCAAATCAATCAAAACGCTTCATGTGTTAAATACATTAATAGCTAACAGTGAATTGTCAGATGGAGTCTATAAGATAGAAAATGGGATCTAAGAATGTACTTTAATGTATTCAAGTGTCAAATAATTATAGTCAGAAAAAGACTTAAAGGAAACTTTTCCAGCTAGAGTGACTGTCAAGGTCAATTGTTTGAAGAAAAGAAGGCTATGCATGAAGGGTGTGCTGACAGAGAAACGGGCCCATCTGAGAGGAAGAAAGAAAAACTGGGGCAGATTTCATGCAGGAAACAGCCCAGGGCCTCATGCAAGGGAGAGGAAGATACAGCTTCAGGAGTCTCCTCTACTGTCTTGTCCTCTTGACACCAAATATTTTCAGTCTGTCTTTGAGTCTTTCATTGGGTCTGTGAGGAGAAAATAAAGAGACTGAGAGAACCTTGTTGTAGTTATGTGCTGTCGAGTTGTCTGTGACCTATAGTGACCCTGTGTACAGGAGCTCTGAATCCTGCCCTGTCCTGAGCCAGCCTCACTAATTCTGACACACCAACCCCTATTGCCCCAGTCACTATATCAATTCATCTCATCCGGGGTCTTCCTCTCCTGCGCTGTCTGTCTACCCATCCAAGCATGATGTCCTTCTCCAAGGACCAGTCTCTCCTGGCCACATGCCCAAGTATGTGAGATGAAGCTTCAAAATTCTACCCTCCAAGATGAACTTGGTTTCACCTTCTCTAAGACAGACCTATTTGTTTACTTGGCAATCCGTGGTATGTTCTTAGTCCAGTCTTTAGTCCAGAAAAGATATGCATCAGGGTTGGATTATTTGACCATACCTATTCAATTTGCATGCTGAGCAAATAATTTGAGAAGCTGGACTATATGAAGAAGGGTGTGGCATCAGAATTAAAGGAAGACTCATCAACAACCTGTGTTATGCAGATGACACATGCCTGATGAAAATGTAACAGACTTAAAGCATTGAAGATCAAAGATACTGTATGTAGCCTTCAGTGTGGATTACACCCCAAAATAAAATTTTTTAAAAATCCTACAACTAGATCAACAGATGACATCATGACAAATGGAGAAAAGATCAAAGTTGCCAATTAATAAGTTTTACGTGGATTCACAATCAATACTCATGGTAGCAGCAGCCAAGAAATCAAAAGACATAATCCTGGAGCAAATCTGTTGCCAAGGACCTTTTTAAAGTGCTAAAGAACAGGATATTACTCTAAAGAATAAGATGCCTTGGAATTTCCATTTGCCTCATTATGATTGTGACAGTTGGACAGTAAGGAAGATGGAAGAATTAGTCTTTTAATTCAGTATTGGTGAAGAGTATTGAATGTTCATTACGGACTGTCAACAGAGCAAGCCAATCTACTTTAGATGTGCAGCCAAGAATGTTTCTTTGAGGTAAGGATGGTGAGATTTCATCTTACATACTTTGCACATGTTATCAGGAAGGACCAGTTCTTAGAAAGGACATCGTGCTGAAGCAGAAGAAAAGCTTCAATGAAATAAATTGACACAATGACTATACCAAAGGGCTTAAACACAGAGAAGATTGTAAGGATGAGACAAGGTTTCAATGTGGTATATGTTGAGACACTGTGAGTTGAACTTGACAGCACCAAACAAGTCAAACCCCCGGAGGAAAACTCACACAGGGATGACATGAAGAAGCAAGCAAACCCAGTGCTCCAGGAAGGCAGCTTTCTGAATCCAGGAAGAGCAAATGCCCCCAGCCAGAAGAGGGAGGCCCCAGGCTAGGGATATGCAAGATGCATGCAGCTGAGGGGCGTGGTTTACTTGCTAAAACATTAGCTTTGTATTTCCAAAATTCTTTGATTGCTTCTTGTCTCTGCCTCTTGAACAAGCTGCTGAAAATCTTGAACCCTCAGTACTTGTTTTACATGAACTGCTGGCTTTTTTAGGTCTTGTTGATTCTGATTCATAGTGACCCAAGGTACAAAGGTATAAATTTCGTCCTATCTCCCACCATCCTCATCATCTTCACTGTGCTCAAACGCAAGCCCTCTTGTTGAAGGTCTTCCCCTCCTTCACTGGCCCTGTCTTTTTCTCGGCATGATGTCTTTTCCAAGAATTGGTTTGTCTTGATGGTGTGTACCATTGAGTGGGAACCGACTCATAGCTGGCCCTCCAGTGGGTTTTCAGAGGCAGTTAATCACCCGGCAGGAGATTGCCCACACTTCTCCCTCAGAGCTGCTGGCAGATTCTTACCACTAGGCCACCGTTCTTGTTTCTATGGAGCTCTATCTCTTCTGAGAGATTGCAGCTGTAGGAGCCAGCACACATCAATTGCTCAGCAGAATGTTTACATACGTTTGTTGTTGACAGGCACCTTGTGACAGTGGGGAAACAAGCTCCTGTTGTTTTCTAGGCTGTTAATCTCCACATCCTCCTCCTGTGGAGCTACTGGGTGGATCCAAACCATCAACTTATCAATCACTGATAGAATATTTAAGCTTTGCATACAACCAGATCTCCCTGCCATAAACGTGTGTTGTTGTTGTGTACAATCAGGTTGGAACTGACCCTTAGCTGACCTTAGGCAGGTTTTCAGAGGCAGTTAATCACAGGGGAGGAGATTACCCATCTTTCTCCCACAAAGCAGCTGGTGGCCTTTGAAGGGACATCATAAACCCCATTTTTTTTATAAACCCCCATTAATACCAGAAGCAGAAGCGGGCCATAAAAATTCTTAGCTTAAGGCAAGCACCAATGCCCCAGGTAAAGTCTTATCTGTCCTTGCAAAGTAAAGAATTAACTAGTGTCTAAGTGACACAAAAAGAGTAAAGACGGGAAAAGTCTTAGCCAGCCCTTCAAAAGCCGACCCACATGACTGATCCCCCAACCCACCAACCATGATCTCAATCTCCCCGCCCTGACAGTGGCACCCAGGAAAGCCTTAAAAGCAATTGCGGAAGGGGACTTGCTTTTTCCCTTCCTACTGAGGGAGAAAGTCTCCACTTGTGGATATTCTGGAATAAAGTGGGGGTTTTTTTATTTACATATGTGTAAATTATTCTTTTGAGGCGCATTTCCTGGGCAGAACAGCCTTGAATCAAATGCTTTGGGATTGTGGTGCAGCTTCTAGCCACTAGGCCTCCAGAGCTCCCTTGAAATACATTTGTAGACTAATGGGTTGTGAATTAAAATTCTGCCATAGTTAGAGATCCATTGTGGAATTTTCTATGTCTTCAGAGGAGACTGAACTTGGGCATGACAGTCAACAGATTAACCAGCTTCACCAGAGATGGTTTTCTGTTAAGATTTGATTACTCTAGTACTCAGTGTGACAGAAGGAAATGTATAGTAAATTTCACAAAATGGTTATTAAGTATTTCTTTGAGTTCTCCATGAATAGGATGCACACAATGGTGATCTTCATATACAGAGAGAAATTATAAACACAATAGGGCAATGTCAAAAGTTCCTTTCACATTCTTCACTTTTGATTGATGCTGATTCACTCTTCAACATTGGGCAACAGAAACTGTATAAAAAAAGAGATTTTTAAGCTAGGTAGACAAACAGGTATGTCCTAGAGAAGGTGAAACTGAGCCGCTCTTTGGAGATAAGGATTTTGAAACTTCATCTCACATATCTGGACATGCTGCCAGGAGGGACCAGTCTTTGGAGAAGGACATCTTGAAAGGTGGAGGAACTGCGGTAGGAGAGAAAGACCCCAGATGAGATAGATTGACTCAGTAACTGGGATAATGGGAATGTTGAGACAGTGAGATTAGCTCAGGGTAGGGCAGGGTTCCAAGAGGTTGCACATGGGGTCGCTATGAGTCACAGGTAACTAGATGGCACATAACTACAAAAAGCTGGAAAGAATCAATGGTTCTTGCTTTAAAGTCAAGCATTCAGCCAAGTTTGAGCCTGAGAGAAAGAGTTGTTGAATGTGGAGCTGATAATAGGAGTCTTATTGCCAATTCAAAAAATCCAATTGCATAAACCTCCGTGCTGCTTCTTTTGAGGTCCATTTCCATTTTCCTTTATCATTATTTTATCATATTAGCATCTTTAAGAAGAAGTAGAAGCCAGGGGACATAGCTTATGGTCTGCTTCATTTACATGTCCATCACGACTAGCCTGGCTAAAGGAGTTCACCTGCTTCTCTGCCTCCTCTTAGGAACACCTTGAGCTCTGGTGGTAAGGAGTTAAGCTGGCACCTCAAAGGTACACGGTTTCTAAGCCACCAGCAGCTCCTCCATAGAAAGATGCAGAGTCATCTCAGATGTGATTAACTGCCTCTAAAAACTCACTGGGGTAGCTATGGGCTGGTTCCCACTCAACAATTGATAAGATGCAGATGTGGGCTTGTTTCCCACATCAAAAGATCTCATATCAAAGAATGGCCAGAAGCAGGTTTTAGCACCTTGATGTAAATGGGACTTCCACACTGTAATATACGTAGATCTTCCATCTTGAGTCTGGAGTACCTGTCTCAATTCTTGAATCCTCTGTCCTTTTCCTTTTATACATCATGCTAGAAGAGACTACCTTTCTTGACTCTTTTATAATTGCAGTGGCTAATTTATCCCCCTTACAACATTCTAAACACAGGTCTATAAATCCATGTCCAAATTATATGCCCTCAGCTGTTAGTGAATGTTTAAAAATAGGTTCCTGGGCTCTGTTTCACATAGAGTCTAACTCAGTTTGGGAATTCAGGACTGTGGGAAGGGTATGTGTCTGGGAACCCGTTTATTTATTTTTTTTCCTACTCAAATAAATGTGAGGTTGTAGGGGAGGAAAAAAACCCCAGTTACTAAAAATCAAGAAAAGGTAGTTTCTTCTGGCATGCTGTGGCAAAGGGAAAAGGTAGAAAAAGAATGGGAGAACTGGACAGCTGACAGGCCTGCTGAAGGAAACTCCTCCTCCAGGTTACATTTTACAGAAAGATGTCTACAAAGTTCCATTACTGAAGTCCCACCTACATCAAAGTGATAAAGAAAAGTGGGTGTCCATACATTTGGTTTCCTGGCCTCTTGGCTAAGAGAACTTTTGTTATCGTCATCTTACCAGAAACCAGGATACACACATAACACAGAACAGGACATGCACAACAGGTGTAGCAAACGGGAATACAAAATCAGAGGAGGCCACTTAGTCCAGGTTGATAGGGCGTAGAAATGAAAGTGAAGCAGATCACAAGCTTTGTTATTAGCGGCTACCTTGCTTCTAGGACATCAATAACATATGTGCAGAATAAAGGAGCTTTGCCTGTAAGGTAGGTAAAACTCAAGGTAAAACCCACATGGAGGTTTCTCAGAATTGACTATAGGCTATTTGATTTCAGAATCAGCTCAACACTCAACAGCTATCACTGCCACAGCATGCATGTTGGTTTTCCCCTAAAACAATGGCACACAGTCAAATGTGGAACAGTCTTTTAGAAGATGTCTTCTATTTCATGTGCTGACCTAGCTCATAATTTCTGGACTATTGCTGCTTAACAAAACTAAAACATTCTTGAGCCTGCAGAATATTGGAGGCAACAAGTACCTAATTAACACCAATTATTGTTGTTGTTGTTGTTGTTGTGTATCATCATGAAACACTATATATTCAGGGATAATATGTTGCATGAAAGGTGCTGTCTTGGGCAGTGAATTGCAGTCCTAACGGTGGCTACATGGCTAAAATTAACTAAATTATCTGGCTAAATAACTTCGGTTTAATTGTATCAAGCACTAAAGAACTGATTATAACTAACTTAGTTACTTAGACAAACTAGTCTTTCTGATTAGAAGTTCAAGGTGCTTCCAGTTCACATGGTAAGATATTCTTTGCTATTCTATCATTTTTGGAAGGAGGAGTGGCATCCACTTCCGTAATAGCTTGCCTCCCGAAACCCTATGAACCTGGAGACAGGATAAAAGGCACCCAAGCATCGAGGCTCTCCTTCATAGGGTCGCTATGAGTCACCTGCAACTCGACGGCACTTAACAACAACAACAACGTTCTTTCATTTAATTCTCAAAATAAAAGATATTTTCCATTTATATGCATTTAAAATACTAATTAAAAAATTCCTGCTTGCTTTTCAAAGGTAAAAGTGCTTGCTTTCTTTCAGGGATTCTCTCTACTTCGCCCCCAACCACTGCAGTACAAAAAGATGAAGTCAAAAGTGTGATTTGCCGAGCCTGCAATCTTTCACTCCCGTTCCACGGATGTCTCCTAGACTTCGGGACCTGCAAAACTAAACCTGGCCAGTTCTGTATACAAGAGATCCACACGAAACGTAAGTTGTTGGCGTTAAAAATATATGTGTTAGGGGAGGGGTGTTTAGCATAAAGACAGAAAAATCCTAACTTAACGGTAGTCATTAAATGTTTGCTAAATGTCAGGTGGCAATACAACCATGAGATGAGCTTGGTCCTGTCACCATCATCATTTTACAGATGAGCATTCTGAGGCCTAGGGGGTGAAGTCATTGCATGATGAATGGAACCACCAGGATTCAACTGCAGAGTATCCCATGATTGCTAACGAATCCATGAAATGCCTCCTTCACACCACATACATCCTCACACACACAAAACACTATATATTTTTTTTTAGAGCCCAGAGCAAAAATGAAAATGTAAGTCTCCTAGTTAAAAAATTAGATGCTAGCTGAGCTATTTCAGTCTCCTCTCTGTTAAAGTCCATCCTATAAAAAAACTAACCATAAAAATCCAAATGACTAAAACATTAGAACCTTGAAGACATATGTTTGCACTTAAAAGAGAGCAGAACTCCTTAACATTCAAAAAGCAAGTTGTAACAGAAATAATAGATAAATTTGAGTATCTAAAAGTTACAAATAACCATAAAATTTTAAAATGTAAAAAGCTTCTTGGAAATATTTGTAATGTACATAATACAAAAAAATTAATACCTAGAATAAAGAAAAATAATTTTTTAAAAGACCAGTAGCTAAAGAAAACAAAAAAGATAAAAACTCATTAAGGGAAATATTACAGAAATTCTCAAGAAAGGGAAAATAATAAAAGAAGGTGCTTATATTCTCAGTAAAAATCAGGGAAATGTATATTATCAGTATAATGGAAAATGTTCATTCCATCCAAAACTCACTTAGACTCATGACTGTTGGATCAGAGCTGAGTCATATCTGACCCTTCAGTGTTTTTTCACAGCCTGTAAATTGTATGGGAAGAGATGACCCAACTTTATCCTGTAGAGCAGCTGGTAGGTTTAAACCACCTGCCTTTGAATTGGCTGCACAGCTGCTTCCCCACTGGCCACCACAGTTCCTTCTCCTAGTTTATTCAGATACCAGCTCCAGAGGAAGGTGTGCTCTGTCAGTTTGGGAGGAAGGTCTCTAGTTCCTTCAACATCTGGGTCTCAAGTTCCTTGGAGGTCTCCATGTCCGAGCCTTCGCCCATGTGGAGAAGCTTCACAGCATGGGGACCTGAGTGCCCGGGACCTGCCTCCGTCCTGCTTCCCTTCCTGAGTAGCCCCTCAGGTCCCTCCCCTTCCTTCCCTTTCCTTGTTCTTCTATTTCAGAGGAAAAAAAAGGTGTTATTGCCACACTCCAGAGTGATCTCCATTAAGGGATCAGGGCTGTGACCTAATTAAGGGTATACCACCTCATCCTTAATTAAAGTGCATCTGATTCAGGCCATGGTCTTTCTGATCATTTGCTACGCATCGGAGAACTAGATCATGAATAATTGTGATGACAGAAGAACTGATGCATTTGAGCTGTAGTGTTGGAGAAGAGCACTGAGCATCTCATGGATGGTCTAAAGAACAAATAAGTATGTCTTGGAAAGGATATAGCCAGAGTACTCTTTGGAGATAAAGATGAAACTTCACCACACAAATTTCGAGTATGTTGCTAGGAGGGTCTATTCCTTGAAGAAGGACATAATGCTTGGGAAGGTAGAAGGTTGACAAAGGAGAGGAGACTCTTCAGGTAGATTGACATGGTGACTGTCGAAGTAGGCTCTTGTGTGTCAGGAAATGGGAGGGTGGCAAAGGACAGAGCAGAGTTCAACTCTTGTTCCTAAGATTGCTATGAGTCGTACTTGACTCCACGGCATCTAACAACAACAACCATTATCTTACACTTATTATCTTTTATTTTCTTTTTTTTCACCCTAATTATGTGGAACAGACCACCAACTACTCATGCAAATTCAAGCTAAAGCTGAGGAAAATTAAACCAAATCCGAGGCAACCAAAATATGACTTTGAGTCTAT